AACTTTTCTTGCTTTTTCAAACAAATTTCGAACTTAAATCTTTATAGTTTGCCCAATAAATCAGAGTTTAAACGTAAAATAGCGAAAATGATTCCCAAAAAAAGGAAAAAAAAAAAACTCATAAACAAAAGGGAAAAAAATAAAAGTATATACAGACAAACACATAAATAACAAAAAAAAACTAGGGGAATAGAGAAGGCGTATTATGAAGACTAAGAAAAGAGATAAGATTACATAAATTGAAGAAAAATGAAATATGCGAAACAATGTTAAAGGCATTCAAAACAATTAGTTAATTATATGCCAAAAAGGGCATATTCGTGATATAAAAGTTTTTAATTCCGGAAATTCCTTCGACTAATTACAATATAATTAAAGTACATAGTTGGGAAACACTTTTGGAACTGATAAAAATCAGTCTCTCGAACACGTGGAATGAAGTCATTAGAAAGGAGTGTCTACAGATATAAACACGAATATAATGAACCAAAGTTATTGGGCTACGACCTTAAATTAATTTCCAACTGATTACATGAATTACCAACAACTTATTGACCATACAGTCAATTGCTATCACTATTCTATATACGGAACACCAAAGATAAATATCTCTAATAAAACGCAATAATCTATTGAAATTGATTATGCGAATTGATTTGCATAAGCGAAAATTTCTCATTTCTCAGATTAATCACTTCTGGAAAAATGTTGCCACGCAAAGCAAAAATGAAAATTTCTCATTATTATTCTCACTGGAGAATGAGAACATTAGAGAAAAAGTCTTTTCTATTCAATTTCAAATGAGCGCCGAATTTAAAAATTATTTTTTAACTTTAACTTTAATTTAATTTCTTTATCTTTAATTTGAATTTAATTTTCTCAACTTTAATTTTAATTTTTTAGCGTTAATTTTAATTTCACTTCTTTAATTAGAATTTTAATATCATTTTTTAACTTTAGTTTTAATTTCAATTTTTTAGCGTTAATTTTAATTTCACTTTTTTTACTCTAATTTTAATTTAGTTTTCATATCTTTAACTTTAATATTTATTTAATATTTTTACTTTAATTTTCGCAAACTTTAATTCAATTTTTTTGAACTACAATTCAGGTGAAAGATGAAAGAGTTATTTAAAAATTCCTTCAGTTTTAAGTAAAACAAACTTTACGTACGATAAGCAAACTTTGTCGTGAATTTAAAAATCTACTTTGCATGAAATTTACCTAATCTCTCCGTGACTCCTGACAATTAAAACAATAAGCCTCTTAGGTGAAGAATCGAAGCTAATAATTGAGAATATTTTCCACGACTAAACTTTCGCCGTTCGAACAAAAGATCAAATTTACTATTCTTGTATTATATCTACAAAGTAAAAAAAGGCAGAAAAGAATTTTTCTTTGGAATTTATTATTTGCAATTTATCGAAAGAAAAATTCGTCTACTTAAATTTTATTCCAAAACTTCAACTTCTTTTTCGTTTTGGAATAAAATAATTGATTATTAATTAAAATAGTAAAGTTTCATTAAGAAATTATCACTTTCGACAAAATTGAAAATTTTAAAAATACAAATGACAATTTTTTCTAAATTTATCGTTTCACTTTTATGAATGCCTATAAATAAATATATCAAAGCAAAGAAGTCGTTCAATAATTTTCTCAAAGCTTAATATCGATTCTTCCTTTCAGCATGCTTATTTCCTTAGATACGTCACAGAATGTGGGTCGGAAGTATTTCCAACAATAAGCCTCTCACATTACAAACAAATGCATTTTCATTTCGAAATACAATGCAATTCCAAGATAACACCCTAATGAACCCACAATGTATATTCACTCTATAAGAAAATGACCTAACAAACTAAAAAAAAATTGCAAATTCATTTTCTTCCTTTGAAACAATAATAAAATAATTAATTTCAAAACCTAATGAGTTTAAAATTAATCTTACGAACATTGCTTAATGTTTTCTTTATTACTACTTCTGTTGGAGAAAATTTATACTTGAATCGCTATATTTATCAGATATATCGTCATATTTAGCCATATAATAGGTATTAGATGAAAAATTAATTTAAAGACTTTAAGAAAAAGAAACTATTCGTCTGACATGAAATATTTATGAAAAATGTAAAAAAAAAATTATTGACGTGAATCTTTCTTTCTACAACTTTTCAATTTTTCGCTTTGGCCTTAGCGAGACAAATTATTACTATTCACACTTGAGAAGTGGAAACAATTTAGTTTTCACTCATCCATGAATTAACCGTTAAGGAGGAAGAACTAAATCATCAATGACTTCATCGAGATTGGATATTCGATAGACTTTTACAAAGGGAAAATATTTTCCAGAAATAACAATGATTCTTTTTACTGTCAAAGATAATATTAAAGATACTATTAAAGATATACTATTAAAGATACTAATAAGGATACTAATAAAGACACTAATAAACATTGGTTAGTAAATCATGAATTATGCAAATCGTGAAAATTATGAAAATTTAATTATGAAAAATTTTCATAAAATAAAAAAGAGGCAATCATTTAAAGAGGTAGAAAAACAGGAATGCCAGAAAAATTTAATTTTGTTTTTCCTTAATTTCCAGACAAAATTTTGACTTTTTCCTTAATTATAAAGAATATTCTGATTCTGATTAAGCTTATAGAAAAAAATTAGTTCCATAGAATTTTTCATTAAAAATATATGAAAAATTCAGATTTTTCAAAAAATTTAATTTTGAAACCTTTACAAAATTCAAATATTTCTAAAAATTGCAATTATTAGTAACTTCTCAAAAATTCAATTATTATCTAAAACTTTAACTGAAATTCATTTTGAAATCAATTTTCATTAGAAAACAATAAATTTTTAAATAATTGAATTTTTTCAACGAATTTGAATAACATTTTTAAGAATAATTAGGTACATTTTTCAAGGAATTCGGTTAAAATTGTATTAAAAATAATTGAAATTTTTCAATGAGTATTATTATTTATAAAAATAATTAAATTATTGAAATTTTATAAAAAAGTTTCAAAAAATTGATTTTTTGCAAAAAAAATGTATGCAAATTCTATTTTTAATAAATCAATTCCTGTTAAGTTTTCATTATTTTAGAAAATAATTGAACATTCGTGTAGAACTTTGTCAAAATTGTTTTAAATAATTGAATTCTTTTGGGAAATTTTATTAGAATAGTAGAAAATAGAAAATCATTTAATTAAGAAAATTTTTTGAAAATGAAATTTTGCCATGAATTTTACTTAAATTTTTAAAAATAATTGAATTTTGCAAATTAATTTTATTAAAATTCCTGAAAATTATGAATTTTGTTATTCATTTTTTTTAATTGAAATGTTGACGGCAATTTTTTTTTATATTTTTTGAAAATTATTCAATTTTATTAATTTTGAAAATAATTTAATTCTTGTGATGAATATTGTTATTTATGAAAATGATTGAATTTTATAAAAATTACTAAATATAATTGAATTTCGGCCAAGAATTTTGCTATACTTATAAAAATAATTAAAATGTTGACAAGAATTTTTTTTTAATTTTTGAAAATAATTGAATTCTTCTGATAATTGATAAATATTGTTATTTATGAAAATAATTGAATTTTACAATGAATTTTATATAAAATTTCTGAATATAATTGAATTTCGGCCAAGAATTTTTCTATATTTATAAAAATAATTAAAATGTTAATAAGAATTTTTAAAAAAATTTTGAAAATAATTGTACTTATGGAAAAAATTTTAATATTTTTTAAAATAATTGAATTATTTTAAAGAATTGCGTTAAAATTTTTGAAATTAAAGCGAATTTTAAGAGAAATGAAATTAAAATTTTTCAAAAAAAAATTACTTCAATTAAATGATTAATTAGTAATAACTTTATGGCAGTTCTTCAATAGAATTAAGTAATTAAATTTTTTCCAGTACTTTTAATAAAAATCCCTGACTTTTCCCTGATTTCCCTGACCTGTGGCAACCCTGAAAAAGTACACAACACATTTGATTTCTTTAACAACACTTCCGGATAATAAAGGAACAAATTTAAATCTTGAAAACGTGGAAAATGCCTCTTCTTCTTTTTTTTCTCATTTTCTTTTCTTTTTTTTTTTTTTGAAGAAACTTTTAAGTACAGGAGACTTTTAAGTGAAGAGAATCGAAACGCGAGTTTACAGTGCAAAATCGAAGTGCAGTTTGCCGACAAAGAAAGAGCAACATTTAAAATACAGCACGTATTGCGAATGTTCCATTTATGGAACACTATTGCTAGGCAGTTAAGTAAAAATAATAAACGATTCTTTCAAGGCATTCCCTTCAAGCTACTGGATTCTTGAACTTTAAACCCACAGCATTCCGTCTCGATAAAAAATATAACACGTTCGAAACAAACAATCCCATTCTTGTGTGAGTACTCCGGAGTATGTTGCTGCACAATGTATTTTTTTTCCTTTTCTCTAACAAAAACAATGTTTCCATTTAGAGTGGAAAATTTTTTCAAAAAAACCTCCCGCTGATCGTTTTCAAAACATTTGGATAACAATTTTTCATTTTCAAAAGCGGGAGCTTTTCGGAAAAAAGTTTCCATTTAGAGAGAATTAGAAATTTTTTTCAAAAATTGTTCCAAATGAACAATGAAAAATTTTTTTCAATATTTTTGATATAAAAACCCATTTTACCGAAGAGTAAAAATAATCAACATTTACTTTCGTACTTGTTTTGAAAAAAAAAATAGTTTTGAAAAGAAAAATGCAGAGACTATTAGAAAAGAATTTTTCCTCCTAATAAAAAAATTACTACGGATGTAATATTAAGAAAAAAAAATCATTTTAAAGAACTTATGTTATCCTTCGACTTCAGATTATATTTGAATAATATAAATAATATTTCCTCTTTACATTATACCTTCTATATATTTGTATAATGTGATCTTGCAAGGCCAATTTGGAATGAGCCGATAAAACGGGAAAACACACGCGGAACTTATAAATTACAGTGAGCGCAAACTCAGGTAAAACTTGAGGCACCTTTTGCTATTATGTATACGTATCGAGACCGAATATCTGCACACGTGTGTTAATGTCTACTTACTTTAAAGTGTTTCACACTCACGCAACATGGCAATCACGAGTCATACACCTACCTGTAACATACAAAAAAAATAATAATCGTTAATCAAACATTCGATGTGGAAGCTCGCGCACGAATACAAAAGAATTTTTTTTTCACTTCTTCATATTGTTTGGCAATTAGCGGAGGAAAAAAATTATCATTTTTCTCATATTTAACGCAATCTTGATGAGTGAAAGTACATTATTATTTGTTCTTCAAAACTATGAAGAAAGGGAAAACATTTTTTTTTTTTCACCTGAAATCTTTTTATATTTTCATAATATTTTTTATTTACAATATTTTTTTGTTAAATATTTGCAATTTTAAAATTAATATATTTAAAATCATTGAATTCTTGCAAAGAATCTTAACAAAAAATTTGAACAGAATAATTGAATTCCTTCGAAGAATGTTTTTATTTATGAAAATAATTGAATTCCCGCGAAGAATTTTATTAAAATTCTATTATTTTTAAAAATAATTTAATTATTGCGAAGAATTTTACTATTTATAAAAATAATTGAAATGTTTAGAAGAATTTTCCTATTTATAAAAATAATTGAATTTTTTTAAAGGATTTATTAAAATTTTAGAAAATAATTGAATTCTTTTGTGAAATTTTATTAATATTTTTGAAAATAAATAAATTCTTTCGAGGAATTGTATTAAAATTTTTTTCAAAAAAATTGAATTTCTCCAAAGAATTTTACTATTTCTAAAAAATAATTGAATTATTGCTAAGAATTTTACTATTTATACAAATAATTGAAATGTTTTGAAGAATTTATTAAAATTTTAGGAAATAATTGAATTGTTTTGAAGAATTTTATAGAAACATTTGAAAATAATTAAATTCTTTCGAGAAATTCAATTACAGTTGTTTCGCGAAAATAATTGAATTTCTGTAAAGAATTTTATTAAAATTAAGTATATAGTCAAAAAAATTGATTTCATCAGAAGAATTTTATTAGTTTTTGAAAATAATTGAATTCTTTTAATTTTTTTGACGAATATATTTAAAAATTGCATTGAAAGTAATTTAATTTTTGTATAGAATTTTTTAAAAATATTTTGAGAATAATTTAATTATTTTTAGAGAATTTTAAATTCTTGTTGAACTTGAATTTTATGGAAACTTTTGAAGATAATTAAATTCTTTCGTGTAATTTTAATTACATTGGATTAAAAATAATTTAATTCGTGCAAAAAATTTTTACTATTTATACAAATATTTGAATTCTTACGAAAAATTTTACTATTATTTATAAAAATATTTAAACTGTTTCGAAGGATTTATTGAAGATTTTAGAAAATGATTGAATTTATTTGAAATCTGTTAAATTTTTTTTAAAAATTGAATTCTTCTAGGGAATTCAATTAAAATTGTTTTGAAAATAATTGAATTCTTGCAAAGAGTTTTACTATTTATAGAAATTATTAAATTTTTGCGAAAAATTTTACTATTTATAAAAATAATTGAATTGTTTTGAAGGATTTATTAAAGATTTTTGGAAATAATTAAATTTATTCAAAATCTGTAAAAGAATGTTTCAAATATTGAATTCTTCTGGGGAATTTAATTAAAATTGTTTTGAAAATAATTGAATTCCTGCAAAGAGTTTTACTATTAATAAAAATAATTGAATTTTTACGAAGGATTTATTTGACTATTTAAAAAAATAATTGAATTCTTCCGAAGAATGTTATTATTTATATAAAAATAATTGAATTCTTGCGAAGAATTATATTAAAATTTTTGAAAATAAAAATAATAATTTAATTTTTCAATTTTTCTTTTAATTTTCTAATTTCTTTTTGAAATTTAATTATTTTTAGGAACTACAACCGTAATTCTTCAAAAATTCATTTTTTTTTTGTTAAAAATTTTAAATAAAATTATTCAAAACTTTAATAATTTTTTACGAAAATAATAAATTAATAGTTTTTTAAAAATAAAAATTTGAATATTAATAGATACAGTTTTACAAGAATTAACATTTTCAATGATTTCAATTTAAAAATGGTTTGAAATTTAATTACTTCTAAATATTTTACATTTCTTTTAAGAAAATCAAAAGGTAATTATTTTCAATGAAATAGAAAAAAGTGAATACGACATTGCAATTGTTACTAATTTTTAAAAATGACACGCTACATTTCCACTAAAAAAAATTCGTCAGTCTTTAATTTTCTTGTGTGCATTAATATAATTACTTTAAAGTGCGATGCAAAACAATGACAGAGTGAATCTGAAAATAAATGTTCTTTCTTTGAAAAAATTGACCGCGAGCCAAAAATGTCGCATTGAACAAAGTACGAGATTTATACACAGATAAATAAAAGAAAAAAATTTAAGGCAGACCTTTCTGTTAATTAAATTCACTCTAAATCTAAAGTTAAAATTTTAACTGATTCATACTTAGAAAGCAACTTGTAGATTTCCAAAATTTGTTTTTCAAAAATTTTTTTAAATAGAAGATAAAAACGTAAAACAAAATAAAAATAAAAAAATATTTTCCATTTCTACAAATATTAATATTAAGATTAATAAAATAAAAAATTCCATTATTAAAGATATTAATACTACCCACACTTTTTTTAATTTAACATTTTTTTTAGTATTATTTCAGCATGAACATTTAGAAAAATTGAATAAAAAAATCTAATGAAAGACTAATTAAGAAATCGATTTATTCGCATAAGGGCGTTGTATAATGAATGAAAAGGTCAGAAACGCTTAAGGCGTTACCATCGGATGAATTTTCAGGTTATAAAGGATAATGTTTGCCCGATAGATAATTATACACAATTAGCGCGAATTTGAGTGACATTTAAAGTAATATTCGTTTGAATTACATTATAGCTAATTAAAGGTTTTCATGTACAGTTCCGCATTCATGGCATAAAATCCAACCTCTAACCTAAACGCGATTAACTTGTAACGGTTGTCATTTACCATATAGAATCTAAACAGACAATTCCCTTTATAGTGAAACATTTTAGTTTAATTCCTCTCATTGTAATAGTTCATTTCAAAAATAATTTGTTTAAACAAAAAAGACAAATTCAATTATTTACAAATTTCTTCGCAATAATTAAATTATTTTCATAAATAATAAAATTCTTTTTTGGAATTCAATTATTTTCAAAAAATTTTATTAAAATTCTTTGGCAAAGAATAATAATTATTTTATATATTTAATAATTATTTTCAATATATTTTTAATTAAATTTCTTGAGAGAATTTAATCATTTTTATAAATTTTAATGAAATTCTTCATAACAATTCAGTTATTTCTTAAAAATAAAAAAAATTTTAACGGAAATTTAATTATTTTAAAAAAACATAATAAAATTCTTCCCAAGATTTAAATAATTTTCTTTAAATAATAAAATTCTGGTCAAAAGTTCAACTATTTTAATAAATAATAAAATTTTTCTCAAGAATACAATTATTTTTAATAATTTAAATAAAATTCTTCGCAAGATTTAAATTAATTTCTTAAAAAATAAAATAAAGCAATAATTTTCAAGTGAATTTAATTGTTTAAAAAAATTTAATAAAATTCTACGCAAGAATTGAATAATTTTTAAAAAATAATAAAATCTTTCGCAAGAATTCTTTGTAGGAATTTAATTATTTTCATATCCTATAAAACAATTCTTCTCGAAATTCAATTATTTTTAAACAATTTTAAATTATTTCGTCCAAAAATGTAATTATTCTTCAAAATTTAATATTTATTAAAATTCGTCGAAATAATTCAATTATTTAAAAAATTTTGATAAAATTCTTTAAAATAAGTATTCAATTTTTAGAAATATTCAATTATTCACTAATTTATTTTTGTATTTAAATAATTGAATTCTCGTAGAATTTTTTAATAAAAATTGATTTAAAAATGAATTTCAGTTATAAGTTTAGATAATAATTGAATGTTAAAAGCATTATGGCATGAATTTAGAAATAATTGAGTTTTTTAAACGTTACAAATTAAAGTTTTTGAAAATTTGAATTTTTCATACTTTTAACTAACAATTCTGTAGAATTAATTTTTTTGCAAAACTTTATAGTTGATTTTTTTTAAAACTATTTGAGGTTTTTATTTTCTAATATGTATGTATTTAATTAATGAATTTGCGAATAATCGAAATTTTATAAAATTTAATTGCAAGTAAATGGATTTGAAAATTCTCAAAAAAGTTTTTAAAAAGTAATTAAAAATAATTGATTTCAAGAAGAATTTTAGTTTTAAATTCTAGAAAACAAATTGGAAAAAAAAGTAGAAAAAAATTACTGCACAGATGGAGAAAAAAATTGATTAATTTATGAATATGTAAATATGTAAAATGTAAAAAAGCAGTATGCTAATTATTGCGATGCTCTGGTTTCTACTTTCATAATGCGCAGTGCTATGGGAAAAACGAATGCAATGCATCCAGGTGCAATGGCAAGTTCAAGTTCACTTGGGGAAACGGAAATTCTGTCCGTGTGTTTGTACGCACGAAACTTGAGATGAGTAAGTTCGACAGTCGCTAAGTTTCTCAGTATTACTTTCATTCATTATGTGTGTACTTTAGTTTTATTCCCAGTAGCACTTAATTTAATTAAAGGAGCGGAAAATTTTTTTCTAAATTACCCTCAATCGAACAAATTTTTTTTAATTCACTTTTGAATTTAAATTCAAACTAATTTTTCATTAAAATTATTTTTCAAAAATTACAATAATTAAAAAATAAACTGAAATTTAATACTTCGAAAATTCGTGATTTATTTTCATACAATATTTTTGCAATAAATTTTTAATTTGAAGAAAAAATAAATAAATTTTGTTTATTTGAACGTTCAGACATTTATAGGAACATAAAAAAAACAAGATTAGGAGAACAAGTGAATCACCTGATTCAAATCGCAAATGTACTTGATAACCTGTTCTAAATGTACAGGTTCGATTGAAATATAAAACTGCAGAAACAATACGTTCAGTGGGAGTGTAGAGAAGAAATAAAGGTGGGGGAGGAGTTGTGCAA